TACTTATTTCTAGACCGTTTTTGCAGAAATAACAACTGAGATCTCTTATTTCAAGTGTATAATATCTAATTTTCTTATTTTAAGGGTAGAAATACTGATTCAAGGGTAAATACACTTATTTTGAGATATTTTCACTCATGTCTAGATTGTTTTTACAGTGCACCCAGCAGGTTCCTTTTTGATTGTACAAACTGATGTTAAGATTCATCAATGTATAGCAGTAAGTATGTTCTCTGGCCCTTAAGGCTCTTGTTCCGTAACAACTTCCTACTTTCCACTTTTAGCAAAAATGTCCGAGTTTAAGTTAGTCCCATTTCCTCCAGAGCCTCTTTCCCACTGAAAATACCAGATTAAAACGTGTTTTCCAAACATGGCATTTGGCTCCCTTCCCTCTGGCAAAAAAAGCTGGGTCTAACCCCTAGCTGCCCCACTGCGTGACTGGTGACATCATCACGCAGGGTTAGCGTTGATGATGTCACAACTGTGACAGAAATCAGGACAGTAAACAATGGAGAGAAAACTCACTACCAAAACTCACTACACGCCAGGCTGTAGTGAGTTTTGGTCTGTGATCTGTCTGAATGCCTGTTATCAGGGCTGCGCCATGTTTATCGAATGTAAACAGGGTTGTTTCGGCTTGTTAGATCAGAAGTGACTGTTGCGTTCAATGGTATCAGGTAATTTAGCGGGTCAGCATGGCTCTGGTGTTCCCACAGCATGTCGATCAGAGCCAAGGCGATTTTAACGTGGGTCACTTGCCAAGTCGTTTGACCCGGATAGACACGCGTCAGTGAGCTGTTCCCACTGCCACTAAAAAGCCGATTGCTGATTGGTTTAAACTGCTACTTTTGCCGGTGGAATAGGGGTACAACTGAGCTTTTTGGATCTGTACAGATCCACCAGAGGTGCCATGGCTTCTCCACGTGGACTCCGCCCGATCTTTATGAGTTTGCAGTTTAGTCGTCCTTCAAACTCATCATTGGAATCTCTGAGCGATGTTAAAAGCGGTGGTGATATGAACCTGCCTGCTTCAAACTTCTCTACAACCACAACCCTGACCTACCAGCATTGTGCCTTTATGGGGCTAAAGATTTAACACATCCAGGTAATCCTCATGGCACAATCTGAATTGATCCACCTTAATGTTTGGGGTATTTGGCACAGACACATCTTAAAATAAGCTTTCAAAAAAGGGATGGAGTTCTAATTACCTGTATATGGTGATGTAAATTCTGTATTGCAAATTTACAGAGCATTTTTAGCAAGGGCTAAAATATTTATCACACTTGCAGGTCATTTCTTGAAACTAATCTGATTATTTTTAGAAGAATTAGCAAATTTTTGGATTGTTTGATATTTATTACAAAGAAAACTACTTTACTTTCCTGATCCTTTTTTCAGTCACATTCTTTTAGCATGATTCTAAATATCATGAATCATACTTCCTCTACAATTCTAAGCAAGCAGATAAAACAGATTATAAAATAATAGATATTATTTGATCAGTTGAATAAAATCAAGTTTATATGAGATCCACCTCAGTGGAGACTTTGGTCCCTTTGAAGGTTTTATATACGACTCAACCAATCAGAGACAAGCAGCTATGAAATATAATTCATCTTCAGTCATTTTATAAAACACATTCTGACCTTTAATTGGAGCCAACAATCAGGAAATGGCCTTGAATTCCACTTAAGTGTGATTTAGGTTTGACTTTATCCCCAAAATGAGGCGTTTTCTTCTCCAATGTTCAACAAATTTCTGAGGTGAGTGTCGAACAGCAGGATCTATACTGAGGTTAAATGACACACAGGTGGACTCTGTGTACTACATCTGATGGCACATGGTTACAATAGGTTTAAATTTGGGGTATCAGAGTAAAGGAGGCTAAGTTTAACAATAGTTTGCAAACCAGGTGTTGTTTAATTTGCTTTGCTAATATGCCATACCGTGTCTTTAAGGTTGTAATAAAAGAACAATTTGAGTCAAAGGCTATGAGTTGAGATCAGCTAATATAGGTTTTACGCCTAAAACAAAAATCAACATTATTTTGACATCATTAAAGCTGATCCTTGATACACGAGTCTCTTTTCTCCACTGAAATCATAAAATAATACAATAAATTACAAATTACACAAGTCTCAATTTAAACAAATAAAGAAACACTTATTAACAAATTAAATAAAAGCAGAAAGCAAAGGGATATAGCGCCTCATGGGAACTTACTGCTGAAAACATTCAGCACAATCATATATAAAAACAAAATGCTATAATTGGCCTAATGATGTATCGGTCTACCTCTGGAATAAATACCTTTAGAAGCAGCTGCAGCTTTCAAAACAAAGACTTTAAGATGATGATAATAGCTGTACCTGCGATAGCGTGATTGTGAGGTCCTCCCTGCAGACCTGGAAACACGGCCTGGTTGATCAAAGACTCCAAGTTGTACAGAGTCTCCTTTCCTTTGGCGTCCACACTCCGCACCCCTTGGTAAGAGATGGAGGTTCAGAAGACAAACATTTGAAAAGAGAATATTGAGGAGGTGGATGGAGAAAATTAAGATGTTCTATAAAAAATTTTTTAAAAAAGGATCTACCTTTCCGATAAAAGATAAGTCCGGCTCGGCAGCCACGCAGAGTTTTGTGGGTCGTTGTGGTGACAATGTCGCAATGCTCAAAGGGTGAGGGCACCACTCCAGCAGCCACCAACCCACTGATGTGAGCCATGTCCCCCATCAGATATGCACCATTCTCATTGGCGATCTGCTTCAAGCGGGCGTAGTCAAGGTTCCTCGAATAGCAGCTTGTTCCTAAAGTAAGCAGACAGAAATAAAATAAAAAAAAAAAAAAACGTTTTGATTTGGGTTTTTCTTCCCACAAACTAACTTTACAGAGGAGAGTGAACCTATGTGAGTTCATGAATAAAACCTGCAATGATGAGCCTCGGGTGGAACAGCCGTGCATTTTCCTGCAGCTTGTCATAATCGATGTAGCCCGTTTCTGGATTCACCTTAAAAAAAAAATAAATATAACTTTCTTATTTTACGAATATATCACTTAAGAGTAATCCAAACTAAATTAAAGCTAAAAAAAATTGCCAAAACAACCAATATTTATTTTATTCTGTTTGAGAATAAATAAACTATGGAAGAGTAATTGGTGCAAAATAGATACAATTATCTATAGAGTTTGCATAAGAAAATAAAGACGTCAAAAAACAGAGCCAAGGTGTTTAAAGGTCGTATTCCCACTAATATTAAAGGAGATAAAGACTTGGAATATAGATCAGCTCTATAATAATAACTTTTATCTAAAAGGGTTTTCAAAACACCTACGGATACATTTCAATAAACACTATTAAAAACAGGACAGGCAGTTTGGAACAGATGAGTTTTTAGTCTGGATTGTAACAGAGGTAAATATCAGTGTTGAAATTATCAGGAGTGAATTTCAGAGTTTGGGAGGAAAATGGGAGAAAGATCTGCTGTACTTGGATTTAGGAGGGGGTCTGAAAGAGACCTGAGAGGTATGGGTGACCTTGAACGTGAACAAAAAGATTTTAAGCTAAATTCGGGACGGACTGAAGCATATAAAGGGATTGCTGAGGAAGAGGAAAAAGAATAGGTGACGAGGCTGCACAGGCTTTTATCTAGCAATGTGTACGGCCGTTACTAAAAAAATGACTAATTGTATGCCCTGTTTTTCCTCTGGACACTTTCCTCAGATATTAAAAATTTCCCGAGCAGCAGATGCTTGGGTTGGAAAAATGAACTTTTGCTGCTCAACGCGCCAAATCAGCCAATCAGAGAGCTGATCTGGGAACTGACAGGGAGACAGACACAGCGCTGCTGAGGCAGAGAGCTATGATCACCGCACTGAAACTGTTTATTTATGCCTAAATTAACTTAAAATGTTAAAACCTGCCAGTAAAATATGTTTGCTTTTACTATTCTGGTGCGTACAGTTTGTAATACATCCATGAAAAACCCTAACATCTACTTCCTGCTGCCACGAACAGTTGGGGAAAAATTCCCAAGAAGCGAACTAGCCTGAGGCAGCGCACCTAACAGTGAAAAAATATTTTAAGGCAGGATCATAATCTGGATGAACTGACTGTTCTGAGGTGGACTTTCTCACATAAAAATAAATTAAAACTACTTTCTACCCACTGAGGACAGCAAATATAGTCACTCTGCCATTGAACACAGGAGCAGCAGAAGCATCAGATGCATTTGTTCACTTTCCTGGACGCTGGCCTTAACGTGTACAAGCATCAAAACTGAAGCAGCAGGCGGCTTTTTGCTGCTCAAATCACGCTGTGAACGTAGCATTACTGTTTCTGATTGTTTGAATTAACATCTGTGTAGAGGCAAGGATGCATTTTTGTCATGTCTCTAAGGGTGGGGTGCATGTGTTAAAGGTATGTATGGGCATGTGTGGGTGGAGCTGAATGATTGACTAATGAATATCACCTGGATCTTCTCTGGGGCTGTTTTGTTTGTTTGATTCAGAGAGAGGCTAAGGCAGGGTGCCAATATTTCTGTTGACCGCAAGTTTATGGCATAATAAGTCTGCGAATCTACCTGTTGTACAATGCTTCACAGAAAAAGGATACAATAAACATCCCTAACTGCAGTAAAGCTTTATGTTTCCTCCTTGGATTCAGCGCGTCAAACAGATCTCTGCTCTCCTCTCTGTGACTAATTTTTGGATGAAGGTCGCCTACAATATGAAACATAATATTGTACCTAAAAATGATCTCATGTCTTCTTTATGAAATTTCCTAATCTAGTCAAGCATACAAACTTCCCATCATCAGGACAAAAGTAGTTTTGCGAGACAAAAAGTTAGCTGCATTCCACCTCAAAATGCAGGAGAGTCTAAATTTCAAACTTTTCCGCGCTAAGTCTAAAGATGTGGTACACCAAGGTGTACCCCCTATGAAATATTCCTGGCTAAAGGCCTGAAGGAGAACAACAGAAGCAGAATGCAGGGAAAGAGAAGGACGAAGATGATGAATGTTTCATTGATGAAAATGGAAAAAGAGTGACGTTATTGATGTAGGAGGTGAATGACAGAGAGGAATGAAGGATGACTCTCAGACCTTTTACCTGAGAAGAGGGAGAGAGGGTGGAAGTGTCACATAAAAAGAGAGAGACTGTCAATCTTGGATCTCTGTTTTGTTGCTATTGAGCTTCAGGAAGTTAGAGGTGAACCAGGCATTAATTTCAGCAAGGCAGGAGGTGAGGGAAGGAGTTTGGAGTTTATCAGATAGATAGAGCTGGGTATCATCCACATAACAATGAAAATTAATCTTACATTTCTGAAAGATGTAAAGCCCCGTCACACCTTGCTGATTTAGACAGCGTATGCCTAATGTCCCAGAATCTCCTAAAACGCCGGCATATGCTGAACTTTTCATGTATCATTTCAACTCTGGGTGTAAACATACCGTATTCATAACAAGTCCAGAACTTAAGTCCAACGACAGCCTAACTTATGCATAACGTACAGCAGCGTAATGCCCATGAAATGTCGCAAGCCAGTGTCCTGAGGGGGGCAGCAATGCGCACGGAGGCACCCGGCCTGCGTAAAAAGATTTCTTTGATTGCGGTATTAACCTAGCTGCTGTTTAACGCCCGCCAAAAAAAAAAAAAAAGAAAAACAACTGGTAGGATTTCATTTATTTTATCCGTGCTACAAGATTGTTGTACATTTAGCTTGGAGAATCATTTAAGTCTGCTCTTTATGTGTTTAAAACAAAGATGGTGGGTAGACGGCCTACTTTTTCCCAACTCAGGTTCTGAATATATATATTTTGTTTTTGGAAACATCGGATCAGAGTAAAACTTAAGCAAAATTTGAAATCCTCTTCAAAGCATTAGTACGGTAAAACTCCTTTATAAAGCTTAAGTGCTGAGAGTTTATAGCCTCATAGGGAATATTGTTAGGTAACTCCACAGTTGCTGATTTTAAGCTGTTCTCTGGTTGTGCAATGATTTCTGCTTTCATAAGAAGTCAAAGGGCAACGTAATGCAAACGTGACGAATACAGGTCCTGCTCTATCGATCCCTGGGATTGATCTCATCCCCACTCAGTAAATAACACCAAACCTCTTATCATTATCGAACACATTCCTCTAAAAACAAGCTGAAAAATGCATGTCATTCGCACCTTATATGGCATGGATTCAAAGAAGATGGAGGTTGCTGAGATTTTCTTCTTCTCGGTCATGAAGCCGTGGGTGAGGTGGCCGCCATCAGGAAGGTCCAGCCCCATGATGCGGCCATGTGGCTCCACCACAGCTGTGTAGACTGCAAAGTTGGCTGGGGAACCTTATAGAGGCAAAGCGGAGGATAAGAACAAGGAGGCAAACAAAGATTGCGCTGAAACCATATTTGAGGAATCTATCATTTTACTGTCACAACTTTCTGTGGGATTTGAAAAAAAAAATAAAAAATTGCCAGTTAAATCTGATGAAATACTTGTGCGGAACAATTAACATGTCTCACTGTTAGGGTCTATCCATACAAACACAGAGAACTTCATGATCTCTACAAGACATTTAAACTGGCAACTCACAGAGTGCTCTTCCTAAACAATTAATAGAAAATTAAGTGGAAGGAAAACATATCGTAAAGAAAAAAAAAATAATGACAAGCGATTCCAATAAATGCGCCTTAAGAGGAAAGAGATGCAGAGCTCATTTTAAGAGCTTGGAGGAGAGTTAGATGTGGAGTCAGCCTTCTAAAGGCTGATTTATACTTCGAAAACAGGTCATCTGTGTAGATGTTGTAGTGGACAAAAAGACGTTCCCGCCCCCTCTGCTGACACTCTGCTGCACCTCTCCCAAATTGTAACTGACCGCAGACAGGAGGCCGGCTGGTTTTGTTTTTATGACAGAAATTACGGAAAACAACTTGTGAAGTTTGACCAGCTAGAAGAGCGAGGTGCGCGAGAACACTGGGAGCCCTTTTCCACCTGGATCCCCGCTCAGGAGTATAACCAACCCTTTAAGAGCCATGCCATGCTCTGTATTCACAACATGGACGAATACTGAAGCATCAATTAGGCTAAGCCTTTCCAAACAAGCAAAGGAGGATGAGGACTGGCTCAACTGGATGCTCAACAGTCTAACGGGAATCTGTGGAGTATTGTCATGAAGAAGATGAATAATACCATTTTTATTACTAAACCGGTCTAGATAAGCTGAAAGCTGCTTTTAAAGTAAGCTGGGCTTCCTGAACCCCTCAGCACCAACTAGAGCCTGACTGCCTGCTCTGCACTGATTCAGTAATTCATTCCAAAGGAGTCCACTAAATGTACATTCCACGGACATAGCTTACAGTATGCCAACATTTCTGCAGACATTTTAAAATGCTTTAATATTCTTATCCAGTAGCAGAACTCTCTAAGCAATAAAAATGTAGGTTTTTATATACTGACATCTAAAATATGTCACTTTGCTTCACTTTCTGAATTGAGTTACTTCAATAAATGAACTTTATGACACTCCTGAGATGCATCTAAGGTAATTAGGGGCGTAAGCTGCATTCAGAGGGAAAACACTGCCTTATTTTTTCTATATGGATTTCTAATTATGGTTTTATACAGAAATGAAGAAACCCTACATATGGTCTGCACCTCTGCAGGAGGAGGTTTAATACCTGAGTATGGCTGTGCATTGACGCCCCATTTCTCCGGATCCAAACCAAAGAGCTCCAGCGCCCTCTTCTGGCAGAGTCTCTCCAGCTCATCAATATGTTCAGTACCACCATAGTACCTAAAGTGAGGAATTAGGCTCATGAATACCTTCAATAACAGCGTTTAATAAACATGTTTCCTGACTGGATGAGGCGGCGTACCTCTGGCCAGGATAGCCCTCAGAGTACTTGTTGTTCATACAGGAACCCAGAGCCTCCAGAACAGCTCTGCTGGCAAAATTCTCTGACGCTATCAGCTCCAGACCGTAGACCTGCCTGTGCTTCTCCTTCTTTATGATGGAGAACACCTGAAGCACAAACATCACAAAAATCATCAGAACTTTTTTAAAAATTGCATGAATAATGTTTAATAAGTCCCAGATGCACACCTCTGAGTCACTGACGGCCAGAGGCTCCAGCATCATCTTGTTGTGCGAATCCCAGGTTTCTTTACCCACACTGTGGCCGTTTGTTAGAGACATGGTTGTTTTCCTGGAGACACGATGTGGAAATCTGACACAAGAGATAAGAATCACAGATAAGTCACATAAAAAAAACTATAAGAGATGGTCGCTGATAATAAAATAGCAGGTTATCAGAACTCATTATAGAAGCTTTCAAAAGACCTTCATAAAAATAAAAACATAAAAGTTCATGGATTTTATTGGAACTCTGTGTGAAAGACCGACACAGACTACAGATTAAAGCGTGAATAAAACCGGGGGATTCATCTGCATTCATCCTAAGCTCGGTCAGATTAGATTAAGAACATTTGTGATCATCAGATGTAAATCCCTTTATTGTCCCATGATGTGGAAATTCACTCTCTGCTTTGACCCATCCCTTTGGGGAGCAATGGGCTGCCATTGTGCGGCGCCCAGGGAGCAGTGTGGGGTTAAGGGTTCTGGGCTGTGGCGATGACACAAGCGCACTGCTCTAACCACTAAGCCAACACTCCCCATTTATCAGACTTAAATATTGCAGCAGATACTGGGTTAGGATTAGGTCTGGGCTTTGACTAGGCCATTATAACACAAGAATATGCCTTGATCTAAACCGCTCTGGCTGTTTCAGGTTGATCTCCTGCAGGGAGGTGAAGCTCCAACCTGGTCTGAAGACTTTTGCAGCCTCTAACAGGTTTTCCTCTAGGATGCCGCACTTGGTTTAGATCAGTTGTCTTGTTGAAAGGCTACTGTATACTGTGATGATCTGTTTACATATAAATAGACATGATTTTACAAACAGAAAGACCTCATTTACCAAGAATCAGTTGGACTAAATTTTAAGGCCAGTGGATGAAAAGAGGATGAAATACAAAAGCACATGACATTTTTTGAAGATTGATTAAATAATCTTAAAAATCAACTCTCTTGTAAACAGGGGCGGATTAAGGAAATTTGGGCCCCAAGGTAAAAACAGGCAGGGGGCCCTGTGAATTGAGAATACAGCACATAAAAAAGACCCATTATACAGATACAGAAATTTTAATAGAATAGACTTACATTATTAGTTTTATGTTTTGTCCCTTTTCTTGTTGTTTTCCTCTCTATGTTTTGTACTCAGCTGACTTTTCATGCTCGCTCAATAGGAATAAAAGTTTTTGTTTTTTTCCAAGCACTAAGCTCACTTAGCTGATTGCTCCTTCCTGTGTTTCCAAAAAAGGTGATGGCAAAAGTAAAGAGACACACTTAAAATTATAAGTGTTCTGATGGCTTTGTAGTGAAAGGATTTTTATCAGAAACATAATTAATATGCACAAATAAGGAATAGTTGTATTAACCATACATGTAAATAGAATTTTATGGGGCCCCTGGGAACTTGGGGCCCCTCGGAACTTGCTTAGTATTGCCTAATGGTAAATCCCCCCTGCTTGTAAATATTAGATTATTTCTGTTGGCTAATCGGCTAAAATCCAAACAAAGAAAGAAGTCTGACATTTCTGTGTGAGATGAGAGGAGAGCTCTACATGCAATGTTGCCACCCCCCTATAGGCTCATCAAGGAACCTTTGAACCGTCACACAGCAGAGTTCTGCAGAATCTGTGAAAACACGATCAGTCTTTGCTCCTTACACCAGTCATCCTGTCTGCCCTGCATGGGGCTGCTTGCACAGCCCACATCCTAAGTCTTTGCACATGACAGTCACCATGCATGAAAGGGAGCCAAACAGAGCGCAGGAATTTGATTATAAAACAGCCTGATCTGACCGAGAAAACTACCCAGCAAATACAGATGACACACATGGAACAGAAATATAGAAATAACTTGTTTTAAGGCAGGGAAGGGACTTGCAGCTAACTGCTAAGTGCCATATGTCACAGCAGCATCTAATCAGGAATAAAAACATTACCACCTGCTCTGATCTCAGCTTTGATACTATCTGCTTTAAATACGGATGCATTGAAACAGTAACTAAATCATGTTTTTTTTAAGAAGTATGAGCCTCTCACCAAATGACAATGATGTGACTCCCGCCGCTGTCAGTAGAAGAGCTGAACTAGGATCAGTTTTAAGAGCGCAGCTATAAAACAAAAAGGCCACATGAAGAGCAAAGTCCGCGAAACTTTAAGCCAATCACATCACGCCCTCCTCATCGCTTCCGCTTACGTAGCAACAACACGCAAACATGACTGCTTAAAATGAAAAATTATTGGAATTTAAATGAAATAGGGATAAAGACTGATATATATTTATATAATATATATGTATATTATATATGATATATATATTATATAATATATTATATATAAATTATATTATATAATATATTATATATATACTATATAAGAAACTGTTATTGTAACTACTTAAAATATATTCAGATGGTTATCAGAATTTAAAAGGAGGTGTGGGAATAGGAATTTATATACCAGAGTTTAATATATATATATATACATATACATATACAATAATGATCAGATTAAGAGTAGGTCATACCTATTTAAATGACTATTTATATTTAATAGGGAGGAAAAATAATGATAAATGCGAAGGATATGGAGAAAAAGAAAATGTAGAAAATGTATTGAACTGTAAAATTTATGAAGATTAAAGGGAGAAATTGAAAAGGGTGGTTGGAAGGACCATAGATATCCATAATAAAGGCCTTTATTATGGATATCTATGGGAAGGACAGGCAAAGAATGTAAGGTAATGTTGCTACACACTCATGTACAGTAGGTGGCGGTATGCACCCTAAAATTGCCTGCGATCCGCCGTAATAGAAAAGAAGAAGAAGACCTGTTTGCTTTTAATGATACACCAAATAAAACGCCTCCCACACCTCGTTTTACATCCTCTTATACAATAGAGTATAAGAGGATGTAAAACGGGTTAATGAGGCATCTTGAAGCGTTTCATTGCCAAACTGTTGATACTGTCTCGCAGAATACTGACACCTGCTGGACATTTAAAGACACTACAGGCAGTTTATTTTAAAGTCTAAACTCAATTGATTTGATGACCTAATACAATGATATAACTGAAGTTATTGTAGGTTATACTATATTATTTCATATCTGTGTTTAAATATCTTTGAAAATATCTTATGAAAATATCTTTAAGATTTTTAGATGCAGCCAATAAATAATGTAAACATATATCATAAAGAGAAAATTTAGGGGGAAATGTGAATGAGGATGCTTGTGGACTAGAATTTTAAATCATATTTTTTAAACAATAAGTGCAGTAAAAACAGTAAATAAACTGAGAGTCAATTTGAAATTAACTTTAATTCAGATAATTTGAGTGATAACTGAGAAGAATACACAATGAGAAAATTCAAAAACAAATGCAACGGCTGAAAGGTTCCTGTTTCTTTTAGGCTGCTCCAAAATTTTTGATCATTTTAATGATAAACAAAAGATGAGCCTTTTTTTTTAGCAGATGCATCATGTTGACAGAAACATTTTTAAACACAGTTTAGTGTGTCAGTCAGTGGACAAACAACTCCTGCATCGGTCACATCAGTTTCTTGAAAGAACACGCACACCTATACAGTGTTTTGCTCTATGAGCTCCACGCATGCATAGGTGGTGCTACACCCATCACTACTAATAAGTAAGTCTGTTATAGAGAAAGCAACATANGGAAGGACAGGCAAAGAATGTAAGGTAATGTTGCTACACACTCATGTACAGTAGGTGGCGGTATGCACCCTAAAATTGCCTGCGATCCGCCGTAATAGAAAAGAAGAAGAAGAAGACCTGTTTGCTTTTAATGATACACCAAATAAAACGCCTCGCACACCTCGTTTTACATCCTCTTATACAATCGAGTATAAGAGGATGTAAAACGGGTTAATGAGGCATCTTGAAGCGTTTCATTGCCAAACTGTTGATACTGTCTCGCAAAATACTGACACCTGCTGGACATTTAAAGACACTACAGGCAGTTTATTTTAAAGTCTAAACTCAATTGATTTGATGACCTAATACAATGATATAACTGAAGTTATTGTAGGTTATACTATATTATTTCATATCTGTGTTTAAATATCTTTGAAAATATCTTATGAAAATATCTTTAAGATTTTTAGACACAGCCAATAAATAATGTAAACATATATCATAAAGAGAAAATTTAGGGGGAAATGTGAATGAGGATGCTTGTGGACTAGAATTTTAAATCATATTTTTTAAACAATAAGTGCAGTAAAAACAGTAAATAAACTGAGAGTCAATTTGAAATTAACTTTAATTCAGATAATTTGAGTGATAACTGAGAAGAATACACAATGAGAAAATTCAAAAACAAATGCAACGGCTGAAAGGTTCCTGTTTCTTTTAGGCTGCTCCAAAATTTTTGATCATTTTAATGATAAACAAAAGATGAGCCTTTTTTTTTAGCAGATGCATCATGTTGACAGAAACATTTTTAAACACAGTTTAGTGTGTCAGTCAGTGGACAAACAACTCCTGCATCGGTCACATCAGTTTCTTGAAAGAACACGCACACCTATACAGTGTTTTGCTCTATGAGCTCCACGCATGCATAGGTGGTGCTACACCCATCACTACTAATAAGTAAGTCTGTTATAGAGAAAGCAACATATGTTCAGTGCTAGAGAGGCTGGAAGTTCACAAAACATGAGTGGAGGGAAAAAGTGTTGCTTTGAGAGCCAGCTCACTTGGATGTGCATATTTATAAAACGTACATGGACTATAAATGCCCCATTGCTCATTGTAAACCACTCCTGGACCTGACATGATAAGAGTGTCATGTTCTGACCAGGAAGAAGAAAAAAGACAAGACTGTGGCTCACTCACTTTAAATTAGATTTAGCCTTTGACATCAAGGGTTGCAGTGTTTTTTTTTTTTTTAATTTGCATTACTAATATAAATAACCTTATTAATGGCATTCTAACACACACTGTGGTGTTACTGTACATCACTAAAGTGGTGACAAAAGTTCTTCTCTTGCTGAGCCATGAGGGTCAGAACTGAAATGTTAAATTTCATTCTACTTTAAAGTAGTGGAGGTTTTCCTATGGATTTTTGAAAAAAAACCACCATCTCCATTTAAAGGGCGAGTACAATAATGCAACTAGCTTTTTTTTTTTTTTTTAACAAAAATATCTCATTGATTATTTTTATGTACAAGATAGATCTCACGTTAAATGTATATTGGAGGAATTTCACAAAGTTTTAAAAACCCACTCTGTATACTTAAAAAAAAAATGCACATGCACCCTGTACCCACTCCTGAGAGGGAACGCCTATTAAACATGTGAGAGAACGTGCACAAGCCCATTTCTCCTTGTGCACGCTGTTTAAAAGTTGCTGTTGCATCACTCATACAAGCTTACTTTCGCAAAGATTTCCAGTTTTTTTTTTCCCGTCACACTCACCACTGGTAAGTGATAATGAGGACGATCACGTACGTAAACGTATCGCCAGAATAATTGACAATTACGAGGACCACTTATTTAGATGATCCAAAAACATCCCACTTGTCCCATAGATAAGAAAACCGATAATTTTGCTTATCAGTGAAATAGTTTTGAAACAAATCAGGAGCATATAGGTTGTTGTATTGATGCGCCGTATTTCCCCTATAAGGAGATCTGATACGGATTCTTACACTTCAGGTTGGAAAACCCAGCTTTAAATCAGATCAGAGGTCAGAATCCACAGCAGGTCTTTGCCATGAGGATGGAAACAGTGTGTTATACATCTGCAGGTCAACACTGGGTTTTCTGGCATAAACTCAAGCAAATAACCAACAGACACATTTTACTGGTTTCATATAATTAATCTGAAATTGGTTTTAATGAGTCAGTTATATACATCGTAAGTTCAAAAAAAAAAGAAGACAGTGGCAAAGCTCACTTAGCAAAGTCTGAATTGTACAATGATAAGTATACCGTGAGAAACATTGAGGGGTTCATTCCAAGCATATATGAAGATCAATGGATTTTTATTGGTAGCTTTACTTCCAGGGAAGAGCTGGAAGCCACTGGCAGCCATCGACCTCCTCAATCTTTTTTTTTTCCCAACTGTTCATAGCGACAGTCGTGTCAAATACTTTTCGATGATCTTCCGTTAAAAATAGTCGAAGGGATATTGCGCCAGTCCATGAATAAGTGAAAAAGCGTCTGATAAAGACTGCATCATTTCAGAGAGAGGGAGTTCACTCCTCTGGCTGCTGCCGCCGCTGCCGCTGCTGCTTCTTTTGCTGGAGGAGAAAAAATAAACAGGTACAGGTAGGATACAGATCAGCAGGATGCAGGGAAGGTCTGGTGCAATAATAAAAAATATTTCAGATATGGAACTTTTCCACATTTTAACAACAAGAAAATTTAATGATTTTCTTCTGGATTGTATGATAAACATGGAAAAGTGAACATGGTTTTCATACCCTTAGAATTCCTCACATTTACCCACATTTTCATTGTTTTGAAGAGATTTGTGACGCAGGCTGAAAAAGAAAAAATGTACTACAGCCTTTTTCAAAATTCTTTTTCAAAGTATGGTGTGCATTTGTGTTTAGATCCCCTGATCTGATGTTTTATATTAGGGCTGGGTGATATACCGGATCTTTACCGTTACTGTCATTCACTACAATAACCGGCAACAAATTTCCCGTATGGGTAAAAAAAAAAAAATCAACTTAATCTGCTGCAGCATGTCGGGAATAACGTGATGCTGAGCGCTCAGAGAAGGAGTGAAGAGCCCGTTTTGAGTGAGGGTGTGGGAGCTTAAACGATGCACATTGTTCTCGCTGCACGCTCAGTTCACGAAACTGGAACACGAAATGCAAAGATTGTCTGAAAACTGTAGGAATACCCAAAGAAACGCATCCAACTTCCACTATCTACAGCACAACCACCCTGTTGACTTCAAAAATGTGCAAAAGGCTCCATTAACTTAGTGCAAAAATGTTTGCAGGAGAGGTAATATGTTTTTCCAGCTCAATGATTCATTGTTGAATGTTTAAACCTGAATGGACAAGACTTTAATATTTAATTGAAAGTTGATTGAAACTGATATGTAATGTGATTTATTCAATAAATAAATTATAAATAGATCAGTTGCATTTCCTGCACATGCCTTTATTTCTGATAGAGGAACCCGGGTTTTTATCGTGCATTTATCGTTATCGAGGTAAAACTGCCCAAATTAATGTGATATTGTTTTGAGGTCATATCGCCCAGCCCTAGTTTATATAGCAACCTTTCACAGAACTTAGATCTGAAGGTCTTTTCAGGCGTATATGTATCACAATAAGATGAGAGTAAATATCGAGGAAACGTTCAACAAGGAGGGAGCTCAGATCTGAATTGGGGCTCTTTCTGCTGGAGATAAAAAAAAAAACAAAAAAGCTATAGAGCTTTGAAGTCGCTTTTTCTCGTCTCCCATGCATGTGCACAAGGGGGTTACGCAAATTTGTTGCCACGGGGGACAAGCATCTGCAAAGACTGTGGAACATATGATTCCTATATAGTTTTGGGTATGGACTTTGACTGGGCCGTCCCATTGAGGCTCTGGCTGTAAGCTCAGGGTCGCCGTCCTGCTGGAAGGTGAACCTCTGCTTTAGTTTTAATAACTTCACGGCATCTCATAGGGTCCCTATCCAATAGAAAGTTACCATTTCGTTTGATTCTTTTGTCATCCACTCAACTCAGACCAGCTTCCGTGTCTCTGCTTAAGAAGAAACGGTTCAACGCAGCATGATTCTGCCACCACCATGTGCCACTATGGGGATCCTGTGCAGTTTTAGTCTCTTCTTCAACATAACTGGTGTTTTTTGGTAAACTTTAAATGAAAACTATTCTGAATTTCTTCCTGCTACTTTTTAGTACAGGCCAGATGCATGAGATGTTCTGTTAACAGATTCCCTATTTGAGATGCTGATCTCTGGTGCTTCTCATCCCGGTTCGTTAGCATAGGATGAAAGCTTTATAACTCAGCTCTGCTTTAATGGTTTACACATCATCCTAAAACAATATTCTGCTTCCTGTCCCTCAGTAATGTTTTTCAACCAACTTATGAGGCCCTCAAAGAAAACTACACACCTGATCAACCAATTTGGAAGGCACTTGGTCATTTATTCAGGGATACCAGATTAACCCCTTAAGCCCAAAGGGTCTTAGGAGCAAATTCCGCCTGAAATTACATATGTGAATTAAAGCATGTTAAGCTCCCAAACTATAAATTGGAAATACAATCTTTTGTATTTTTATGACAGAAAAGCATTGAGGAATATTTTTCATGTGGAATCTCTGTTGTAAATGTCATCATGTCTGATTTATAAGTGATTAAACAAAGTAAAAATGAAACGTATTTAGCAATTTTTTTTTTTCCAAAATAAACACTGAAAAACACCATGAAACCCCATTTGAAACTCTGGATGAACCCTCAGACTTTAGAGATCCACATCTTGACAATAACTCAAGCAAAATTGGACTGAATAAGTTGAAGCATGTTTGTTCCACTAAGGTTTTAGTCGGCAGTGCGTTAACGTGTTAAACGTGATTTTGGTAGAGTGGTGCCAAAGGTGGCCAAACTGTGTCAAATGTATTTTTACACTTATAAAAGAGAATCTGGCCAGAAAAAAATGCTCATTTACATTATTAGAGACCTTCTGTATAAGACAAAGTTGTTTCATTGAAATTGAGCATTAATATCACCAAACTAAATAAGAAAAACAGAGCAAGCTTATGTAACGCATGCCGGTTGCATCGCCTGAAATGGTCGCACAATTACCTCCGATCCCTCCTTAGAAACATCTGAGCCTCTAGTTTCCAATGATGCTGGCCATTAGGGGGTGGGGCTAAAACTTAATACCTGCTGTTGCATTACTCCTGCAGAGTCAGACAGGTCAGGTGGAATTTTAAATCTCATTTTATTTGTTTATACAGCAATAACACAAAAAGTATTTGCGAAAAAATTATTTTGAAGCGTGTTTTAGAAATTTTAAAGCCCCGTTTTGAAAGGTGTGTGGATGAATTTTCTATTTCTATAAATAGATCAATGTGAGGTGTCAGATGGGCGTGGTACCGGGTACGCCGGGCTTAAACTATTTTAGCTTCACTTCATAATTACAGAACACTGTGCTGGTTTTAACACATAAAACAGATGAAGGTTTAATGTTGTTTCAACACAAATAAATAATTTTACATGGTGTTGTAGGTCAGTTCATACTTCCACTAAGATCTTTACAACAAGCATCAATTCTCCTCCTTTTAGAAGAGGTTAAGGATAAAGTTTGTTTTATTTAACTTCTATGCTTTTGCTTTGTGTAGGTTTTAATAATATTTGTAATCAAAAAATGACGGATCATCCAAAAACAACAAAATTCATAGAAATGGTCCCTTCTGCATTGGTGCTGTTCTAAAGGTAAAACAAGCTATTTTATTGGAGTTAAAGGTCCCTTACACTAGTTTAGGTTTAGTCATCGTACTTCCCTGCCGTACCAAAGTCAACATTAACCTCCTGCAGTTCAGTCTCTGCTGAACGCTCCTAACTTTGGCGCCTTACCTTTTTTCTCTTCTTCTTTCTTTCTTGCTGCTTCCTCTCTTTGCTTCCTGATGATGGCGAGGCGGGCGAGGTCTGCCTTGGCCTGATCCGTCTTCCCGGCCAGATGCATCTTCATGTATCGCTCTTTCGCTTGCTGCTTCTCGATCTCTTCTCTGGTTTTGAGAACATTTAACTAATTATTTCTGACTGGCATTACATTACTCCAAGTAATTATTTTTTTTCTTACAAAACTGAATCAAGCAACTGAAAAGAGACACTGTTTTTTTTCCATTTCCAAATGTGATGTTTAAGGGAAAATAAAAGCTAGCCATCAGCCACCTACCTCTCTCTCCTTGATAATTGTCGAGGTTCGTCCAGCTCTATCTGTGTCACCTTCTTAGACTTCTGAGCCACTCTGTTTGGGTTCTCAATTTCTATCAATCCCTCCACTCCTGCTCGCTTTCTCTAAAAGAATCAAATTAAAAGAAAGAAATATAATTAGACTTAGATAAATTCATCAAAGTTTAGATATAGTATGCATTCAGATATCCACAGTAAAATACAGATCTAAAATAAAAAGGATCTTCTGGACATTTAGCTGATAAAGTAAGCTTCTGTCTTTATGTGAAACAAAAGGAAACCCTTTATGTTTTCATTCCCTAACTCAAGATTTATAAACATCAGTCTGAGTGCACGACGACGCCTTGGTTTCTAGTGTACTGCAAGTTTTGGCCAAACAGAGTGAAGATAAACACTAATATTTATAAGTGAATATTTGGGAGCAAAAACCAGGAACATTTAGCCCGTGACTGTTAAAGTCACTTTTTGAAGAAATGCAAAGGTTTATGTCACCAATGTGTGGTGAAAAAATATCATAACACTAATAAACATGTGCATTCAAAACTGTTCAAAGGAGGTACCCTGAGGAACACACCTCACGTTAGTTTTTATAACTGCAAAAAACATAAATAAATAAAAAAGATAATAATAAAAAAAAAATCAGCAGTTTTAATTGACACTTTAAACAGAGAGTCTGCGTTTTAACAGAGAAATTATGGAAGGGGGGAAAATGAGGTACCAGGGAATCGTCGTCATCACTGTCCTCTGAGTCAGATCCTGGTAGCTTCTCTTCTGCTGTGTCTTTAGGAGATGCGCCTTCTTCACCTTCCTCTTCTAGTTCATGCTGTGACATAAATAAGACACAAAAAAATAAGCAGATACAGGATTTTTAGAAGGGTTAAGAACATAAATATCACAGCAGCTCCTGATCATGATCAGACCAAGGCAGTTTTTTTAAAGTGCTATGTTACCATCAGACCGTATACAACAGCTGTTTTCTGGGATGACAATCACATTATTATCTTCTCTAAAATAGCTTTTGGACCAAGAGCACAAACCATATGACTAGATATTATTTCCTTAATGCTGTTAGCAATGAAGCTGGTGCACAATGCTACAATGTTCTTTTGTTTGATCAAAGATTGCTCTTAATAGCTATTTTAACAATGGAGTACAATGGTAATAAGATATATATATATATATATATATATATATATATATATATTATACTTTTTTTATTTACATGTTTCTAATTATTTCAGTATATATTGTGCATCTTCTTTGCATTCAACATTTTTTAAAGTAGCCAATTTGATAATGTTAATATCTGCAAGAATACAATATGGAAATGTTAAATGGAAAGGCTAATAGGAAAACACTTATTTTTCCTTTAGAATTCCAAAAATGTATAAGATGTTTTAATTTATCTTACAAATTTAAACATGTCATATTCGAAAATTATAACATGATGAACATTCAGTAATTTTTTATGCTTAAATGCATTACATTATAGTACTTTCATCTTTTAATGATGAAAATTAGTTTGTATTGCAAAAAAAATAATCTAGAAATAGGTAAAAATTTCTTAAATTAAGTGTATTTACCCTTAATTTGAGTAGGTAAATGAGATGATTTGCAAATGTAATGAGTATTTTTACTCTTAAAATAGGATAATTAAATAAAATGCACTTGAAATAAGACAATGTGTTTTCTTATTTTAAATGTAAAATGTATTTTTCCATTGGCAAAATGTCTCTTTTACCTTCTCAATTAAAGAACAAATGCACTTATTTTAATAAAAACTGCTTTATCTAGATTTTGATTTTTTTCCAGTGTGGTTACTGTGTTATAAATCTACGTTCATTGCAACACAATAATACCCAATAAGACTTGCTTGTCTCAAGAAAGAGTTTATTTTATAATGCAAAATACATGATTCATTGTGTCAGGATGTCATTTTTAGCTGTACCAACCTTTTTTCTCTCCTTCTCTGCTTTCATCTGAGCATCAATCTCCTCCGGACTAGTGTAGGTGCGCATGCGACCTTTGTGGCCACCTTTTTTCCCTGAAACAAAATGAAACATTACATCACTCACACACACCTGAATACAACATATACACCTGAAGAGCTGGACATTGAACAAACAACTACTATGTGACATGGGGAAGCATGTTATATCTATTTATAGCCGTCTCTTTATTTTTAACCAAATTAAAATAAGAATTCTACAGGACACCAGTGGGTGTAGTGAAGAAGCGCGTCGCCGAGATCGGTTTTCTCCTTTCGGGAAACATAATATTATTATTTTTTAAAAGAGTTTTACAAGACATGTAGCCAATATCCTTACCTCCTTTTGGCATTTTGTCAAACGAATCTTTTGTTACAAGTTGTCTTTAAGGAAAACACGGGTAGAAAACATTAATGTTAAGGCAACAGCATAAACTGACAGCTGGCTAAACTCAGAGGCGAAGAGCTGAAGCTACTTTTAGGTGTCCAACCATCTGCCTGTCAAAAATGTATTGTTCAAGAAATATGTAAGAATTTAAAAAATGAAAATTCGTATTGTATTAAAACAAAATTAGGACTCGTATAATATTTTGGACTAGACAGATCAACTAGTTCTTTTTTTTGTAAAAATAGATAGGATGGAACTTATGTTTACATTACGGCAATTTTAAGAAGTTCTAAAGTGATGCAATAGGACAGGGAGAAATAAATCCTGAAGTTTATGTTATGGTTCATACACTTTCATTTACAAAATACAGAATTAAATCAACTCAGAAAGTTTGATTAATTAAAGATAGCATAAAAAACACAAGCGGTGTGAATTTTTTTTTACCTAATTATGTCGTCATCAATCAACGACGACACGTAAAATTTTCGCGTCAGAAACGGTCTCGGGCCTCGAGACTTGAGATCGGTGCTACTAGAAGCTTCTATTTTTCTTTAGATTTTGTTGAATACAGCCGAAATGCCCAAAGTAAAGAGAAGCAGAAAGCCACCTCCAGACGGATGGGAGCTGATTGAACCCACTTTGGATGAACTGGACCAGAAAATGAGAGAGGGTAGCTTGGTTTTATCCGGTTGTCTTACACGTTAAATAGCAAGAGAATAAAAGATACGGGAACCAATTGAGATAAAATATTATTTAATATCTTTAATTATGTTATTTTTCCAAACATTGTTGCATGTTTTTTTTTGTATTTCACATTAGAACAGAATAGTCTTGCTGTGTCTTTGATAAGAAATACTAACTTAGGACTCTGACGTCGAAGCTATAGGCAGATTTTTGTTTTAATCCAGTCAAATTCAATGCAGATATATATTTGCTTTTTTTTTTTTTTTTTTACTGTTTTGAAATGCATATGTTATTAAATAAAGACTAACCTACTATCCAAGACATAGGCTTCAAAAATATCTAACATTGTTACTCAGTAAAATGTTATTGTGTTCATCAGAAAGAATTATTAACACCTTGATAAACAGGCTCCAATGTTTTTTTTGTTGTTTATTACTTGCTTGATTTGCTTTACTTTGGATTGATACACAGAATCTCTGGATGATTGAGTGAAACATCTTTATTAGCTTTCTTTATCTGTTTCTTCCCTCTGTGTCCCAGCTGAAACAGACCCTCATGAGGGGAAGCGAAAGGTGGAGGCCCTTTGGCCAATCTTCAGGCTTCACCATCAGCGCAGTCGTTACATCTACGACCTCTTCTACAAAAGAAAAGCCATCAGCAGAGGTACACAGGACCTAACATCCAAATAATATTATAACTTCTTTCCTCTTTTTTTGGTTATTGTAGCAGCTTTAATTGAGTCATGTAAAGTTGAGTTCCTTTGCAGGTTACATGTATGAATTTTGTTATAAGGATAAGGTAACTGGATAAGTTTGACATGGTGTTTAAATTTCCTGATGCCATTTCTTCTCCCTTTTATCAATTATTCCATTCATGAATTCCATTCATACATCTGTACGTCTCCCCTTTTATGCATCTACACTTTATCTACTATTAAATTTACTCAGTTGTTTATCCATCACATTCAAAGACAGAATTGCAGAATTATTGGCAATTAAATCTAGTAGCTATAATCTAAAATTAATGTATGTAAAATGCTGAAATGCTGACCTAAAACTGTGCAGGAACCCAACGGAAGCTAACCTTTTAGAAATTAACTCTCATTTTTATTGGTTTCTGTGTAATATAGAATAACCATAACTACAGAATTTATCCATCAGGAGGTTAGTTTATATCCCACTGACTAGATGTTTCACTCGTTTGTTTTGTGGCAGAGCTGTATGACTACTGTATAAAGGAAGGGTATGCCGACAAGAACCTGATTGCCAAGTGGAAGAAGCAGGGCTATGAGAACCTTTGCTGCCTGCGCTGCATCCAAACACGGGACACCAACTTTGGAACTAACTGCATCTGCAGAGTCCCTAAGAGCAAGCTGGAAGTTGTACGTCTGACAAAGTTTTATCAAACCTCACTGGTTAAACCAGCTTTATATCAATGTGTTTCTTACAGATAGTAGTTTGGTTTTATTGTGAAACTTTCTCGTCTTTTGCAGGGAAGAATCATTGAGTGCACTCACTGTGGATGCAGAGGATGCTCCGGCTGATCATTAAAAAAGCCTAAAGCTTTTGGTTTTACCATCACTGTCTACTGCCCTGATGTGACGGGATCAATATTTTTTGTTCTTCTGTGTTTCAACACAGAAAAAGAGTGAAGAGGACACTGTGACTGGGGCCACCTTTTGTTTTTCCCCCCCACATCATTTTTTTTTTTTCTGTGTGGTTTTTATGTTAACATTTTTGGTCTCTGAGTCAGACCCATCATTCCATAAAATTGTGTTCAAAATGAGGGGCAGTTGTAATGCATAGTTTTTCTCACGTTGCTGGCTGGAATGTGTTGGTTGTTATTTTTATCAGAGTTTTGATGTACATCTTAAATACTCTCAATTATTACAGTATGACTTTTAAATAAACATTTCGGTCATTTCCTGCGTGTCGTTTGGCATTTTAAAACGATTGCAAGTTTAGCGTAATCTCTTTTAGCTGTTACAGGTGAAAAATCTGAAGTTAAATGCTTAAAAAGAACTCTTGAACAAAAGATTTTTAATCTTCATGAATCATATGTTAAGAGAGAGTTGTTTACTGTAAGACAAACTTTGTCATTTTGGATGCGCAGAGTGTATACAAAATGAAATTTTGTTGTGTACAGCTTACAACAGTTTTAATTATATTGCAGTTGGAGTAGATAAACATAACCAATATAAGGTGCAGCAGTGATCAGAATGTGAGAAATGCAGGGGGGAAAAAGAAACCAGTTTATATAATGGTGCAAAAGGACATTAATTTGAAAATGCTCATTGCAGTGCAAAAATAAATATGCAGAAGAAAATTTTAGCTGTGTCCTATTTATAAGGATTATAAAAGTTCAGCAACATTGGTAGTCCAAAAAATGTAATGCACAGTCCAGTTTAGAGCTCAGCATTATGATGGCAGCATGAAAAAGCTGTTGCAGGACCAGCAGATTCCCAGAGGGCAGCAGGGAGAGCAGTCCATGGTGGGGGTGTGAGGGGTTGCTGATGACATTACAGGCTCAGAACACAGAAATGTCCTAAATGGAGGGGAGAGGAGCCCCAATGATCCTCTCTGCTGTTCTCAACACTCCTCTTACATTCTTCTTGCCTCCCCCTCCTCCTCTGGTTATTTGTCGACTGAAATATATGACATAAGCTCCTTTTCTTCTGCTAATAAAGAACCTTCTCTCAATTAAAAAAATAATAATTTTGATGTTTAATTAAACTGATGGATTGTTTTCAGTCCCTTTTACCATAATAACCTCAACATTAAATGCATGGCCACCATTTTGACCTCAGATGTCACCTTATTAGGAAACAGTCCATTTGCTTTGATAAAGAATCCTGAAGAGCAACTGGAAGCTCGGTGAGGCAGTTCTGGAGAGATTTAATCATTTCAGTCCTCAATCCATCATCCAAACATGAAGACGGT